GTCTTCTATTATAAATTTATTATTGTAAATGTAGATTATTGGTTGCAAGTCAATATCAGCCAGAGTCAATCCTGGATACGTTAGTTCCTTATTTGGCTGGGTCAAGACCGATCATAATTTATCATATCAACAAAGAAGTATGCATAAGTCTTTTTCTATCCATGTAATCATTATTTAAACCAAATTTATTTATACAATATTTTTTAAAGGTATTAGTGAACACTTGCGTTCACATGCGAATATCCGGAAAATTCCTAAATCCACAATTAACAGAGGGTTGGTTACGAGAGTACCAGGTATTATCATCAACCAGGGTTTAATACCAAATATTATTCAATAAACCGTAGAACTGGAGTTTGCTATGCTGTTTAATCTATTACTCAATTTGTTTTTTTGCACTTGTAATTCTCATCAAATTCTCATATTTTTTTTTTTGGTAGGTTTTACCAGGTCGAACACACCCTTCAATGTCAACAAGCGGAGGTGGTGGTTACCTTTTACAAACAATATATACCAGTACAATTACATAGAATATGTAAGTGATGGTTTGTTTAACTTTTTACTGTCTACTATACTAATTTTACACTTTTTTTTTTTTTAATAGGAATTACGGTTTTCGGGGGGGACTATTTAACTCTACAAATATACTGATTTTATTTAGGACCGTAGCGTAAAATATTTAGCTAGTAGATTAAGGTAGGTTTCGCTATTATATTAAAGTTAGAGGTTTATAACTATCTCAAATTTCTTAAGGAAAATTTTGCTAGTGCGTAATTGCAAAAGACTTTTGGATTGTCTAGATTTTTTGCGAAATTTTTTAGAGTGGTAACGCTAGGGTGGTAGTTATATTAGTTATAAACGTGATTACACTAGACTTAGAGGGTAGACTATTTTCAAATTTCATATAAAAATTATAATTGCAAATATTTCTTGCATTATATAGAAAAAATTAAAGTGAACTACTTTTAAATAAAAGTCGTGGAAGTTTATTTTTAATTTTGATGATAAAATCTTTAAAATTGTCTATAATCTATAGTATATCCATTGTATTGTGAGTTTACTTTTATTATATATACAGTACAATTAAAATATTGTAAACGATAAAGACTAACAAGGTATGTATAACAACCCACAAAAATTGTGATTATCCCACTCACAAAGCAACACATCACTTATTATAAGAATTGTGTTCTAAATGAGCAACATAGCAAATAGATGGTATCGAAATTACGCGTGTATTATGAGAAATTTTCAACAACCCTTCTCACACCCATTGCATTTACATCCACTTCCACACATGCATTTCAAAATTGTGGTCGGATGACCCATAGAATTGCCTTTCGAAAAAACACTTTCATCAAAATGGGTTTACTTTTCTCGAGATATAGGCATATGTCCATTAATATATATTTTTTCCTTTTAACTAGTGCTACGTGTATTAAAGGCCATCGATCCTCTTCATGTAACCACCAGGATCGCCAACTTATTGAAATAAAACGGAAAGGCCGACCGATAACACAATGTGATCATTGTCGCGAACTTCGTAAAACTCATAAAATTCATGTTAAATGCAATTGTAATGAAAGAGCTAGTGAAGGTAATTACATAAAGGTTATGATTTCGTAATACCCGCAGTTTTCTTAATCTTTCCTTCAATTAGTAATTCAGGAAAGTTCAAATACGACTTTGAATGATGCATCACCTTTTTCGAATAGAGGTAAGTATTAAAAAAAAAAAACCATAAGAGGCTACTTAACTTTATTATTAATGAGTAATTAAATTTTTTTTTAGTTGGAGAACTGTTGAACCCGTGTCGTTGCACCACAGGTGGTAAATGTGTTTGTTATCATTCAATTGACGATGATTCTTCGATAATTGAAGATCATTCAATTGACGATGATTCTTCGATAATTGAAAGTCATTGCAATGCAACGAGTGAAGATTATTCTACGAATTCTTTATCGTCGATACAATCATATGAACAACCTATTATCCCACAAGAACCCGAAAATGATTGTAAGGAACCTATTCCGCTAGAGCCTGAACATAATAATGTTTTTACAAATTCTTCTCGAAGCTGTCCTTCCGCAATGGCAAGCGGAAGCTGTTGTGGCACATCAACCACTGAATTAGTGTGTAGATGTGGTACAGACTGTAGTTGTGAAGGCTGCGGAACTCATCATACACTTACGATAACTCCGTCAAAACCTTTAAAAAATTGCTGTTCCAATAATTTTCAAGTAATTAATCGGTATGAACATGAAGTGGATGACGATGAAGAGTCGATTGAGAGAGATGTAACTTCAGGTAAATCGGCAATAAATAGGTTGTTGCGTACTAATT